ACCACGTTCATCAGCAGCAACAGCTTCAGCTTCCTCCTCTGCTGCTGCATGCTCATCAATCTCAGACTCGTCCTTGGCGCTCTCGGTACCACGTTCAAAAGAATTTGTTTCCGTAGTTTCGGTTGCTAATGTAGTGTTGGTAGGCGAATAAGGTGCCTCGTATTTTGGCGGTATATCTCCAGTTGTATGTGTGAGAAGAGGTCTACTTGAGGTGCTTTCATAGATGTAATCATTTTCAGTTTTGAGTATGGACGACAGGTATTGACTTGCGTCTTCGCTACTTTTTGTATTTCCTTGTTCTTTTTCTAGTGTAGATGCTGTTAACTCTGTAATTCTTTCCGATGTTTGTTTTTCTACTTGCATAAGCAATATTTTCTTTTCAGCAACCTGTAGTAGTTGTATTAAATTATTTATTTCATCATCTTGTATTTTCTCTCTTTCAGTGTCTTCTTCGTCTTCAATAGTTCTTATTGATGCTGTTAAGATGATTGTTTTAAAGTTTGGACTGTCGAACGTCTGTTCTTCTTCCTCTAATTTTCTCGAGAATGTTGTTGTTGAATCACTCTCTATCTCTTCCTCTGAGAAGGATTTTTCTTCGTCATTGACGGTATTGCTAGTATCATTATCTATGTATCTCTCTTGATATAGAGTCATTGTACTTTGGTGGAGAATTCTAATAAGATCATATATTTCTTTATCCATTATTTCGTCTATCTCATCCTCATATTGTTTTATGATATTTGGAGATAGGTATCGAGACGGTGAGGAAGAAAGAGAAGTACATTCACTCGAGTGCGCCGATAATATCCTCTGTTTGTAGTTTATAAGTAGTTGTCTACGATAGTGATTAAGAATATTATGTTCTTGCACATACTCTACGTAGAGTTTCTGCCTATGTGCTGTTTCTAACTGGGTGATTTGTTCTTTGACAAAGCAGAATGTTTTTGATAGTACCGATTGTATATCTTCCTCAGTATCACTTAGTTCATGTCTATCAACACCGTTGAAGGAGTTATATAGGCGTCGGCGGTCAAGGCTTTCTTTACTAACTATTAAGTTACGTCTTTCCTCCTCTTTTTCAATATATGCTTGAACATCTTGAAGTGTTTCCCACCATTTTTTTTCTTGTTGTTGTCGGTACTGTAATAACTGTACCTGAAGCATCCTATCTAGAAGCATTTCTTCTGTAATTTTTGAAAAAGCTACAGTCTCATCAGCTTGCAACTCGTGTCTAGCCAATATCTCCATCCCTTCATATTTAGTAACTTCATTCATGGGAGCTTCCACTTGATCTACTAAAGTTCGTCTCTCAATTACATCAAATATAACGTGAAATAAACTATCTCCTTCAGAAATAATAGTCGATTGTCCCCGACGGCGCTGTGGTGTTTCGTATCGGATACTCGAAACGGAAACATTTTGCCATTGAACTTGTGTTGATCGTGTAAAAGGAATCGGTCTGTCCATATCATACTGGAGATCAGCTACATGAGCAAAGTCTGAAAAGATAGGTGGAGCAACTACGCTTGTGCTCCGGGATGGTGAACCACTACTAAGAGTTTCATATGCTGTTCTTGCAGAAAACGACACTGTACTTACATCAAGAGGTGGGTCAATTACCGACACCCGATCATTCTTTTCCTGATAAACGGCTAATCTAAATTTCTCTCTCTCATCTTCAAACTTCTTTTCGATATCACTACGGTAACGACTCTCTTCTTGAATAATTCCTCTTCTCAAAATGCCTTCACGATGTATCAAAAGATATTCCGACTCCATTTGGAAAGAATATTGACAATGGTTCGAATGTCTTTTTGCTAATAAGGTTGGCGTTTACGAGGAAAAAAAACCAATAAATTTGTGCGCAACCGAGGATACAGAGAAAGTCGTTTATACCGTGACAAGCAAGAACAAACAAAAAAAAAAAAAAAACGAACAAAATGAAAAAAAAACTTCGTATTATGCAATAGACCCCTTTTACTGTAGAAGGGAAACAAATCTCTTTTTTTTGTATTATTTTCAGTCGTGAAAAATGACTCTATGCAGATGTGTATAAATAAATTTGTGATTAGATGAAGTGTGGGTATAGGTGTGACACTGTCAAATTATAAATGCAACGTTTCGTTCCTGCAATCGTTGATTCCCTTGATAAATATTGCAACCTTAAGTGTTTTCCTGTTAATCGTCAAGAAGTTCTAAGATAATCAGTTCAATTGTAAAAAAGTTCTGATTTAATTTCCTTTCTTTTCCTTACTTTTTAGTATTTCTTTGGAATATTTTTTTTCTTTTCTTTTTTTTCAGGTTTTTCTCTTTTTTTCCTTCTACGTAATTTCTTTGCCACAACGCTCAGTTTGCTTTGACAGAAGAATCCTTTAATATAAAAAAACAAAACAGAAAAAAGAAAGAAAAAAAAAAACAAGAAGGTCATATTAAGAAATGAGAAAAAAAAAAATAATAATAATAATAATACATAGAAACATGAAATCATAACAAACACAACAGTTTCAGTAACCGAAACTATTTCAGATGAAAGCACAGAAAGCACTCATGACGAAAAAGAAACAAAAAAAAAAGTAACTTGACAGGAGACAATCACCCATCCTCATCGCATCCCATGTTCCTTACTTCAGAGGAATAAAGCGGGAAGAGTGCGTCGCACCAACACCAGGACGGCCGTGCATAACAGGTTTGTATGTCATGGAGAACTCACCAAGAAAGTGACCAATCATCTCACCCTTAATCTCCACCGCATTGAACTGACGACCATTGTAGATACCAACAACTGATCCAACCATTTCAGGTGTGATGACAACGTCGCGAAGGTGTGTTTTCACAGCCTTTGGCTTCTCACCAGCCTTCACGTTCTTCTTTGCTTCGCGCAGGCGCTTAAGCAGAATAGGCTCAGAGATGTCTGCATGGCGGTTCATGTGGCGGCGAGCGCGAGCGTGCACCAATGCCTTGAACTCTTCGTGAGAAAGGGCCAAAAGAGGATCGATCTCAAGTCCACGGTATGTGAACTTGTGGAACGTACGCTCCTTCTTGAGTTGCTCGTAGCGCTCTTGTGTGATGTTAGATGCCATTATGCTTCTCCGTCTAATAACAATAATAAAAACAAAAATAAAAATAAAATAAAAGGGAGAAACAAAACATTTATTGGATCGATGAAGAACTAGAGTGGATATATATTAATATAAATACAAGTATATATATATATATATATATTGCATATTTACATGCGAATACCACTTAATGTACATCGTGAAAACAACCCAAAACGGCCTTCATTTGGTAAAATAAAATAAAAAAATTGTATAGAAAGTGTAAAATACATCCATCCAGCATACCAGCAGAAGACAACGCGTGGAAGGAGAGCAGGTTCCAAGACTATAATACAAAAAAAAAAGAAAGAAAGAAAGAGAAACAAAGAAGCAGATAATAATGTGGTTGAAGTGTAAAAACGTAGAAAAAGTGGAAAGAAAACAAAATATGATTTACTCTGTGCCAATATTACTTTCGCAAGGTGATGCTTCTTCTGCCAAAAGCACTGGTAATGCACGCGACTCAACTACTGTGGTTATACTCTCTATGAGATTAGTAGGTTCTTCAAGAAAGATATTTTCAGAAAAGAGAAATACACTTTGTCGCATTGTTGCACAAAACCCATACCACTCCACCATTTCCCTATCAGAGTTTAACGTCATATCCTCTGGTACAGCTTCTGGAACTGGAGATTGTGATGAGACACTTAACCTACGTTCCATTGTTTTGGAATGTGCTATTTTTTTCTTACCCTTTACTTTAGATTTATTTTTCTTTTTGTTGCCACCACCTTCTTTATTTTGCCCAGATTTCTTTCCTTCTGAGGTTGCCTTTGTTGTATCTGTAAAAAGGGATGGTTGGGGTACTGAGGATACTTCAGTTTGTTGTGCAGAATTAAATGGGAAGTGAACAGATCGACTTAGTCGCTGAACTCCTTCTAATATATTTGTAAGAAAACGTTCTAGTGAAACACCTTTAAAATCTTGAGTTAAAGTTCTTCGTTCCGCAAGCATTTTCACGTATCTATCTGTAAAACGTGGAACTTCTGGTGCCTCCGTATTCTGTGTTGATTCTACAGAACTTAATTGAGAACTCATTGGAATAAGTGAATTTCTTGAAGCCAGATAATCTTCAGATATACTCATCCCATTTTCATCAAATTCTTTAACAACATCTAAAGCACTTGGAATAGGAAGTAAAAATAAACCAATAACCACTTGACTTTCCACAACAAGTGGACCAAGAAGTTTTTCTAATAAGGAGTAAATCTCTTCATGACGTCTAATAATTAATCTTCGCCAAAAACGTGTTAATACTGAAGCTCCATCAGGTTGTTCAACGATATTACCTTTACGAATAATACGCATACCTACTATTGATCGATGCCGAGTAAGTTTAGGACTATCTTTCTCTACACATGATTCATCTGCTAATATAGCTGGAATAAAAATTCTACCACCAATTAAGGGAGCATTATTTGATCTAAAAGTCTCCATTACTGCAAGAATTGCACAACGTCCAATTTGTGCATCCATATCTGCAACAAGTTTAAGAACAGAACTAACTAATTTATTATATGTAAAAGAGTTACTTCCATCCACATCATATTTACGAAGACGTGCCTCTACTACTCGTAAAACTTTTTGCATCATCTCAAAAAGATTAATAGGTAATCTACCATCTACAATATCAACAAATAAATGACAAAGTGGTTCTTCTTCCTTATAATATTGTGCAGAATACCACAAATTATAAGCATATTTTCCAAATTCCATTTCTACCGGTATACTTTTACCATTATATAAAAATGCTGGGTTTAGTGTACCTGGTTGAAGTAAATTTGTACCATGGTCTGAATTACTTTTTTTAAGTGTTTGTGCAATAAAATAAGAGACAACATAACCAAATGGAACATTATCCTCACTTTGCTGAATTTCAAGAGTACTTGCATCAAGACGAACCAATGGATTTTGACACCTCTCAAATAATTGATATACACGAGGAGTAAGCATCTTTGAATCTCGAGTAAAACGACAAGATTTTCGCAATGAAAAATAATTTGAGAAAAAATCGAATAAAATTGATGCAACTTCAGTTGAAGTCCATTTAAGATTAGGAACATCAGGTTGAACATAGGTTCGAAGAAAATGAGGAATTGTGTCCCATATCGCAGTTGAAAAAGTCGGAAGTACACCTCGAGCATTACTTTGATCTACAGATTTTAACATAGTTTCATTTTCTATCCATTCCACTATTGATGATAATTGACGAAGAGTCATAACAGCTGAATTAAGTTGGTGTTTAAGATTTGTTCCAACTGCAGCAAGTTCTGAAAGAACCTCTGCAGTTGATTTCTTTAAATCTATACCAAGATCTGTTTGAACAGCGAAAGGAATATCTCTTGGTCTTGGAGTTAGTGGGATACCAGTTTCGTCTGGACCGGGAGCCAAAAAACGTTTTTCATGAATATATCTTTCAAGATCCATAACTTGACTTTGTAATGATTCAATTTGCATTTGAAGCGCAGAATTTTCATTCCGTAATCCATTTACCTGAAGTCTATAAGCTGTCCTATCATCAAAAGCACTATTTAAAAGTTCTCGTTGTAACGAGAGACGTGCAAGATTCATCTCTTTTCGAGATGCTTCCATAAAACTAATAGGTACTTGATCTTGAACTTTCTTTACATCATCAGCATCTCGGGCCTTTGAAGAATTTTCATTTTTCGGTTTACTATAGGTATAAAGATCTTCATTAACCCTGGGAATATCAATACGATGCTTTCGAAGGAGTGTCTCTAAATCTTCAACACGATTAACAAGACCCTCATTCGTTTTAAAAACAGATGCTATAAGTTTTCTAAAGGAAGTAAATTCATCTTCTTTTCTTTCACAATCGTTTAATCGCGTCATAACAGTTTCTTTAACTTTCATAAGATCTTCATCTCGCTCTTTCCTTAATTTTAAAATTTCATCACGAAGTTGTTTGGTTACAGATTCTGCCTTTCTCTTATCACGAATAAGTTGAAGTATTTTTTCTTCAAAGAATTTTTCATGCTTTTCGTAAATTTTTTCTTCCAAATGTTTTATTTCCAAATTGTGAGATTGCTGCATACCATCAATAGATGATGTAACATCCTTCACATAACGTCTTAAGGTCAGAAAAATACCTGACAAAGAAGGATAAAGTTTTCCCAAGTCATCTATAGCTTTCATTATATTGGAACCACGTTGTGGTTCCTGAACATGTTTCGCACAATTTACTAGCATAAATGATTCAACTTCATGAGTCTTTTCTCTTCTAACTGTAGATAAGTGTTCTTTAGATGAATTTTGTTTAGCTAACAACTCTTGTACAGAATCGGTATCTCCCTCTTGAGTAGTGTTAACAAACTGAGATACTCTCAACGGATCTAATTTGCCTAATTTTTGATAAATAATATGATTATTTTTCTTTCTTGGATATACAGAAAAAGTAGAACCATTTGTTGTACCTTTCTGCGTTTCTCCAGCATCACTGAGACTCATTGGACTAACACCTCGTCCACTTCTAACAGTAGAGGAATTCAACAAATTTCGGTTACCAGAATCCACTGACATAATACCTAAAGAAAAAAAAAATTAGAGAATGAGAGAAGAACGAAAGAAAAAAAAAAAAATCAAATAAACAAAAAAAGAAAAAGGAAAACGAGAAAAAAAAAACCCTACCATTCATAAAAGTAAATAATAAGCTCAACCAGAAAAAAAGGAACATGTGATAAATGTGACGATTTCTTTTTCTTTTCATTGGTCTTGGTACAAATGAAATCCCAATCATTATTAAAGATTTTCTTAAATAAATAAATACGCCTTTATGGCAATTTTCTCATTAGATGTATTGCAGACAGCATACCTCAAACACTATCAACACACAGACGCATTCACTCACTCACACAAACAAAAGAGAAAAAAAAAGCGAAAAACACTCTCCGAACAACACAAATTTTGTAATCAGTATTGAAGTGCTTTCTTTACCATCAAAAGGCGCTGATCTGCAAGGTTAAAAATAACTAAGCAGAAAGAAAAAAAAAAAAACGAACAATTGCCTAACAAATTTCAAACCCAAGCTTATGAAATCACAACTTCTTCTTCATCAGGAGAAGCGTCATCACCAACCCATAATTTTAGGCGAACTGCATCAGAGTGATCAAGATAGTAACGGGGAAGAAATTTCGTCTTTACAAAACCCAAGTTCAAATATAATGAAAGAGCCCGCTCGTTATTGGTAGGAGTTTCCAAATAAACTTCTTCGCAACCCTTCTCCTTCATGAGTTCAATGGTAAGAGCGACCAAACGAGTTCCTAACTTAAATCTGCGGAATTCGGGAACCACCGCGATCATAGCTACATAGCCTCTGAGGGGACAACCTGGCCCCTTTCGTTTCACACGAGAAACCACTGCTCCTACACGTTCACCCTTAACAGAAGAATCAGGAAGTGTTTCACTTTCAACACCATATGTAATAACTGTGAGATCAGGCCAACCAAAAACAAAGTATTCATATGTAAAACTGCTGTATGGTTCTGTAAGTTCCTTTGAAAAAAGTTTCACAATAAATTCCATTGCATCATCACTTCCATCAAATTGTTCATAACGAATGTATTTATTAGGTCCAACTTCTTGCCAACATTTTTGTTCTTCTTTCAAAGGAATAATAACGTTAACATATTGAGCATCACGAATAGCTTTTTCCTGCATAAGTCGTTGTGTCATTAAAGCCATCCTCAGACGTTCTTCATCAAATTGAATTTCATCATTTCCTACAACCTTATAAATAGCCTCATTTACTTTTTTCTCACCAAGTGCCATGGCCTGTTTTTTGGTCATTCCTTGCTTCGAATTTTTTTTCGTATTAACAGAAGATGTTCCCTCGATTGCTTCAACTAAAGCATCAAGCATTTCATTAGTAACATTGGGAACTCCCTTCTTTCCACCTTTTTTAGGCATCTTCTAAAGATTATGTGACCTACAAAATAAAAATAAAAAACAAAATTTATAAAATTAGAAAAGAAAAAATATATATATTTAAAAATAAAAATAAAAACAAGTTTACTTTGACAAACAAAACATCTAAAAGAAAAAGAGCATTAAAACGAATTGTACAAAAATTTTTTTTTAAATTACCAAATGAAAATAATAAGAGTAACAATAATAATAATAATGAGGCATCCCATGTTCCTTACTTCAGAGGAATAAAGCGGGAAGAGTGCGTCGCACCAACACCAGGACGGCCGTGCATAACAGGTTTGTATGTCATGGAGAACTCACCAAGAAAGTGACCAATCATCTCACCCTTAATCTCCACCGCATTGAACTGACGACCATTGTAGATACCAACAACTGATCCAACCATTTCAGGTGTGATGACAACGTCGCGAAGGTGTGTTTTCACAGCCTTTGGCTTCTCACCAGCCTTCACGTTCTTCTTTGCTTCGCGCAGGCGCTTAAGCAGAATAGGCTCAGAGATGTCTGCATGGCGGTTCATGTGGCGGCGAGCGCGAGCGTGCACCAATGCCTTGAACTCTTCGTGAGAAAGGGCCAAAAGAGGATCGATCTCAAGTCCACGGTATGTGAACTTGTGGAACGTACGCTCCTTCTTGAGTTGCTCGTAGCGCTCTTGTGTGATGTTGGACGCCATTCGGGCTCAGTAGGATGCCTTTTCAATAGGATAAATAGAGAGAGAGAAAAAAGAACAAAACAAAAAAAGGAAACTCAAATAATAGGAATTAATAAAGTAACAATAATAAAAAAATAAGGTATCAATAACAATAATATCTATAGTATTTAATAAAAACAAATAGAAAAATATAAATTAACATATATATATATACGTATGTAGAAGAACTTGGTTCACGACTTGGTCAAACTCCTGCTATAACGAGAGCAACCAGATTTTCCAAGAAAACAAAATGCTATCTCATTATGAGAGATATACAACCCTTCTGAAGAACAACGATCTAGATCAATTAATATATAAATAAATAAATATACATATAATAATAATTAACAAATGATTGACTCTTGTTGCAATTATAAAAGTGAAAGATTCTTTTTTTCTTTTCAGGAGAAAGTCTTATACAGAGTGAAGCACCAGGAATTGCACGATAAGGAAAGGGAATAAATAAAAAACTCAACAGTGAAATTTGGATACCCCCAAAGTTTTTTTCCGTTAAATCACAGATGTAGAGGAAAACAAAAAATGCAATGCGCGAAAAATAAAAAAAAAAGCCCTCCAAGAGGGTAAAAGAAAAAAAAAAAAGAAAAAGAAATCATTTATTATAAAGACCCTGTATATGTGCATATTATTTTTAGATAGTTCTACAAATAACTATGTGATTACATACAAAGAAATGCTTCAAAAAAAAAAAAAAAAAGGATCACCAAGATGTTTAACTTCTTTTTCTATTTCTAACGGCTAACAAAACGGCAACGAAAGGGTCTTGCTTCCTTTTTTTTTTTTTTTTTTCTTCCGTTTCTCCCCCCGGAGGTCCCTACAACGGTCTCCGGTTTTTCTTTTCCTTTCTTCGAGACGTTTCGCCCCACAACCCGTCGAAACAAAGGGCGCCCGACCAATCGGACCCGCGCCCCGCCTCACCCTTTCCCGCCCGCCGAAGGGAAGGCCGCCCCGAAAAAAGAAAAGAACGGCGCGGGCCCCTTTTCGCCCCACAAAAAAAAGAAATGCCCGCCCCTTCTCCGCCCGCGGCGCCGGGCCCCGGTGGGCGCAACAATCGGGCCTCTAGTGCGTTCAAAACGGTTTTTGGCGGGAAAAGCGCCCAAAACCGGGGAAACGGAAGAGCGAAGAGACCCTCCCGGACCCCAACCAGCTCGTTGGCGGTGGGTTCGGGGTTTGGCGGGCCGCCGGGGTCGAAGGGAAAACGAGGCCTCCCGCCGGCGAGAAAAAAAAAAAAACCGGCACGCGATTTGACGGCGAGAAACGCGAGGCGCGGCTGTCCTTCCGAAAGCTTTCGGAAAAATAAATGAATAATTTTTGCCTCGCCTCTTCCACGAAGCGGAAAAAACGGAAAACAACAACCAAACGCTTTCGTTTCGCCGCCCCGAATTGCCGACCCCCGTCGGATCTAAAAAAAAAAAAAATGACTCTTTTCAAAACGGTTGCCCGCCAATGCGCGTTCGGGGCTGGAAAAACGGAAGGGTGCTGAAAAGCCCCTTTTGGTCCCCCTCACGCCCGGGACGGAGGGGGTTTGATAGGGAGGGCTTTTCCCGAACTTGCAAACGGTTCGGCGCCCTGGGACGCAAAGAAATTAAAAAATTTCCCCCGAAACGCCGGGACAAACCCCGGCACAAGACGCGTTTCCCAAAACGCTGGGCGCAACCGCCCCTCCGGATGCCAACGGGAAAAACAACAACGAAAAAAAAAAAAAAAATGTAGGGCTATCATTGACCTTGTAAGAACCTTTTCCAGTCTCTTTTTTTTTTTTTTTTTTTTTTTTTTTTTTTTTTTTTTTTTTTTTTTCTCCCCCCGCTCGCGGCGGCGGGCGCCCCCTCTTCTTTTCTTTTTTCTTTTGGTTTTCTTTTTTCTGATACCCCCCGCCCTTCGGGGAAAAAAAAAAAAAAAAAAAAAAAAAAAAAA